GATTGTATTATTTCTAATCAGTTTACATATGACAGCCCATCCCTTAACACCTGACCTTCGAAGTCACACAGGCTTTTGAGTTGATTGTGTGAGTCTAGTTTTGTCTTTATGTGTCCACTGGCCTTTTCATTGAGTCTCAGAGTTCACCCATGGTTCTTCTTTCCCACTTTGTGTTGGACAGTCATACAAAATGCACATAAACTGCTGTTTCCACTCTTAAGGCTGATATAACTACCCTGGTGTGCATGGTGCCACTCTAACAGGGGAAGAGAGCATTAAGTATGATGACAGAGACCCCTACTGGACAAATTGTGAATTACATTTAACAAAATGTGTGGCGGACTAAAAAGTTAGTTGAGAAATGATCTCATCAACTTGTCACTGTAAAAATGTAGCTTTAACAGTGGCAACAACACAGAGAGAAAGAAAATGTATTAACATTTATAACACATGATGTCTTTGTATTGTCTGCAGACCTTTCCAGCTACGTCCCCAAGCACTCGGTGGACTTCAGTGCCTGGCAGGAGCACAAACATGAGGACAGTGTTTACCAGGAGAACACCACTTCCCAACAGACACAGACGACAGAGGAAGTAATGGTGAGAGAGAACGCCACCATTCGTCACCCTTGAAGCTGTTTAAAGACAGTTTCTGTTGTAGAGTCCAGTATGCGCCGTCTCCTCTCCACGATCACCTCCTAGTATTGACCGATGTTCTTGACTCTGTCTTTTTCATTTTACTCACACTTATTAATGACATGCAGGTCTTTAATGTTTGTCAGGAATAATGAAAAATTAAACGAATTAACTAGCAGGAAAAGGGGATATTTAAAGGGGCAGTTCACCCCAGAATCACAAATACATATTTTCCCTCTTACCTGCAGTGCTACTAATCCGTCCATTTACTGAGTTTCTGAGTTTGTCTGCCTTCTCTCCAATATAATGGAGCCAGATGGCACTCGGCTGGTGGTGCTTGAAGCACCAAAAAACCACATTTAACTTTAAACTTAACAGCAATCATTCGTCCCTTTTAAATCTTAAATGTTAGCTGATGAATCCTGTCAGCACTTTTATGTGGAAATGATGGTAGAAGACTTAAATCACAAGTATACAGGTTTAGCGGGATATTGCCAAAAAACAACCCATAATGGCAAAAACACTGGACTTTGAACAATGGGAGGAAAACGTGTCTGCTTTATAATGACCGTAGCTTTGAATCCTTGTTGAACATTTGTTTTAAACGTCTGAACCTTTTGTGTTTTCTCCTCAGCTCACGCCGGCAGACAGCTCCTCCCTGTCTGACTACAGCAGCGAGCCCGCTCTTTACTTCTGATCAGTCGGACCAGTCAGCTGTACAGTAGCATCACACCTGTGGGACCAGACTGCAGCCCCGAGCGTGGCTCCGTCACACCCGGGCCTCCAGCTCTAACACTCCAGCCGTCTCTAAGCACATCTTCCTGCTCAGACAGGAAACGCAATGTTTTTGTTTTTTCTTTTGTTGTTTTGGGGCTGATTTCCTGCCACGGTACCACTGCACGCCAAGTTATCAACTGCATATCAGAGCAGAGCAGCTTTTTGTCAGGCGGCCAGTGATCCATTCCCACCTTCTTCCTGACCTGACGCGACAAATCCAAAAGCAGCTGGACTGTGTTTCCCCCTACAATCCCGGACAGTTGATCTGTCAGCCGACCCCCCCCCGCCTTCCTCGCTCCTCACCAACACAAATGTCTGACAGAATCAAATCCGTTGCGACGTCTGTCTTCCTCTCCACACTCTGGAAGAAGTTCCCCTGCGTTCCTCCTGCGATTCTCCGCTTCAACATTTGCTTCAGGTTTTTTGGCGGATGTTGACAAGCGAGTGACCTAACTTCTTAAAAAGAACAGGAAGCCGCCAGTGCCCACGTGTAGGTAACGCCACGGTGACGGAGTTCAGTGTTGGCGTGGAAACATGTCACGTAGGACATGGGAGGACGCATCCGCTTCTGTAGATCGCTGGCAAACACACAAAAACAAACAAAATGGTGAAAGGGTGCCACAATTGTAGTTTTTTTTTTTTGTCCTTGTTTTTGTTTTGTTTTTGTACCTGCATGTTTTGATTTCGGCCAACAGGTCGGTTGGTTCTCTGACTGTAAAGCTTCTGTATGCCTTTTTAGTTTTTTGTATCTTTTCTGGCAAACTATGCTGTATTGAAGCTGCTGGACGTTTTGGTCGAAGAGTCTTAACGGCAAGCAAACTTCAACACAAACTCCCTCCTCTGCGACAAGGGAGGGGGAAATATGCACCCCAGGGAAGATTTCTGTCAATCAGCAGCAGCAAACTCTGATTTCTGATTGAACGCTTGAAAAAGTGACCTTGGCCAATAATGTCTGTATGTCCGTATTGCTGGTGACAAACAAAAATCATACTGTAGAATGTCTCTGTATATCCTCTTATCAAGGTATCTGTGTTATCAAAAGCTGTTAGACCTCCTGACACCTTTTTTTTTTCTGGCTTCTCGTGTATTTATTCCTGCTTATAGTTGAAGTTTGCATGTCTGAGACCTGCTCATGTACAAAAGGACGTTTTTGTAAAGACAAATTTGCCGGTTGCTGAAGGAACCGGGCTGGTGCGAACAGCCCCACCGGACGTTTCTTCTTCTTTGTTGTTGTGTTTTTTTTTTCTCCAGTCGGACCTCATGTACTTTCACATTCCACTGAGGAAGAAGCCGGTCCATTGAAGTGATGAAGGCGACAACGATTATGATCACTCATAATGTGGCATGTTTGTGAGAGCGAATGCAAGGTTGTGTGTGTTTGGAAGAATATGTAATGTGTTTTTTTTTGTTTTTTTTAAATTAAGATTGTTTTATATACAAGAATGCACCAAGTTTCCAGATGATTTTTTTAAACGCATAATGCCAACGGATTAAAGTGTTGCTGTAACAGCCTCACATTCATTCTTTACGCGCGCAGGATCGACCCCTCGGCCAGTATTGTTGTACAGTTCCCACCATATTTTCATAAGTACTAAGATGTATTTCTTACTCCTGTCATTCTTTTTTCTAATTTCTCCCATCAGATGAAATTTGCTCAGTTGGATTTTGCTGTTAGGGGATGAGGCGTTTTGTCTTTGTCCAATGAATTTAGGAATTATCTGTTTTGTCTGCAGTCTTGGATGTTAAATGTGTTTGCACTGTCATGCTTTTAGCTTTGTTTTGCACCTCGTGAGAAGGAGCGGAGTAGGCCACAGAGGAAATGTGCACTTATAAAGAACAAGAAGTCTAGTTGGAGAGTTTTGTTTCGAAACAGTATAGCCACTATTGACACCTGCTTTTATACAACCGTTGATTGTCTGATACAGTAGATGAGTAAGATTTCTGAGCCCTCGGTGGGCAGAATAACATTTTTTAGACTGCAGGTATTGATTTTTTTTTTTAATGATCATAATGAATGAATAGCATTTTGGAATAGAACTCTTCAATTGTACATGATGAATGCACTGCTGATGAATGCCATGTCCACTTTTTGTACTGTTTGCCACAGCCTTGCATCAGAAGTCTTATGATTGTCGGCCTCGATGCTGTGACCACAAACCGTAGCCCAAGTGTAGTTTCCCCACACAGGTCCAGGGCTTCATCTTTGACCTCAAGTTACCCCCAGAAACACCCCTCAAATCCTTCTTTCCAGTTGTTATCGGCCAGTTAACCCGATGTAACAGCCTCCGACATACAGTAGCTTTAAAGGACCATACCAGTGATGTTGCGAGTTTTAGCCCATTTAGTACAAATCACATATACTTTGCATTACTGCTAACCATTCAGTAAACTGAATGCATTTCGTCCAGACATCCACCGGTTTCCACTCAATTTCATATGGCATGAAAATCTACTAGCAGGCTCTTAACATACAGCTTGAAACTTGAAATGACTGTTTCTATACCAAAATCATACTTTACTCGAAACCTTTGTTTACATCTACACAAGAGGCTAAACTTAATGTGAAACACAAGTAGGAAAAAAGAGCTTTGTAGTGTCAAACTGGCAAAATCTGGATCTAAAGAAATTCTCAAATAAAAAAACATGATACATTATCACACATTATAACGACAATAATGCAACTGACAGAAATGAGTGCAGACTTTATGTTCACTGTGACGGATTACACAGCACAAGCAAGTTTCAATAGCGTACTAATAGTTTCATACCAGGAGGAATTGAATGGAAACCTGTGACTGCGTGAAAAACACAGAACTATATGACATGAATTAAAAAATGTGAAGTACACATGATTTGTAATTAACTTCGAACTCCCCAAACACATTGCCATGGTTCTTTTAAGTTTAATTTGGCCCAGACACACCCTCACTTGGACCTGCTGTGTAGCTTATGGTCACATGACACTCCTGTGGATCCATCTGTGGTAGCTGCTGCCTTCAACGACCAAAACCCCAAAGAGGAACTTGTCTACTCTTTATGGGAAACTTTAGCTCTCTGTCTTTCTATGAACTGAAGGACCAAAAAAAAAAAAAAAAAAAGGCAGAGTGAACTGTGGGAAATCTCCACTGATCGTCTTAAATGACACCAACGAGAACTTTACTGACGGCCATTACTGGGACATAAGAGACACCCGACTTGACTTCTGAAGTGTACATGCGGCCTCTCACCGCAGTGTTTTCCCGTCCGTTTACTCCTGTGAGCAGTTTGTGTTGGTCACGCTGTTGCAGCTCTGTGGTAGAATCTCCATCTTGTTCCCCCTTTACTTTTCCCCCTCGTCTGTAAATCTACATTGCAGCACATGTGCTTCTTGTAAAGTTATTGTCAATGATTTGGGCAGATTAAAAAACAAAAAAAAACAAAGTGATGTCATACTTGTACAAATGAAAGCTCAATAAATAGAAGACTTGAACAAATGTAAATACTGTATATGAATCATTTCCACCCTGAGGAACAGTATTTTTACTGCCTCAACCTAATGCACCTATTTAAAATCTGCCTTGTCCGTTTTGTCAAAAAAGGAGACTCCTGGGAGTGATAAACACATTTATTAGAATAAATAACTAACAATAAATCAAGTGAATATATTACAAACAGCCCAGAGTGGAGTATAAACCGGTTAAGTGCAAACTCAGATGTGGCGTTGTGGTCAAAATGAGAGTTCAGTGACCTTCCATTGCCATTAGTGCTCCTTCCTCCGGGGCTCTGTGGCTTTACTAAGGTTTCCTGCCTCCTGCTTCAGAACGCTCAGAAGAGACTGAGAGCTCTCCAAGATCTATACGTGGAAAGAAAAAAAAATCATATTAAATATACTGTAGGTACTTAAAAAGCAAAGTACAAACACTACCTAGTACAGCTAACAGTTTGTTGTATGCTGTAGAAGCAATTTAAAAAAGGGTCCAGGCGCTGTTGTTTTTTAATAAGAGCAGCTTTGGAGTGTTTGTTTGCAGTGATTAGTGCGAGCGCTCAGGGAGTTCAGCGTCAGTGAGTGGGATGTGCCTGTGTGACGTCAAACTGCTGCTGCAGGACAACATGATGCTGCATCACTGACTGCAAGTGCTACAGAGACAAAATAATGGTGGAGTCAGTTCATTAGCCACTTAATAATAATTCAGAAAAAATGTGTGTGAGCATTCCTACGGAAGCCCAGTATGTGTGTGTGTGAGCGGTTTCTATATGTATTTGAGGTTTAATAGAGGCAGACAGACATATTTCCTGAAAAATCATACAAACCCATTGATGAAAGTGTGATTTACCATTTGATCTAAAAATGTCAAAGTGGTACTGATACTTGCCCAAAGTATGTCGCAACTAACTTTAAAGACTTCCGACCTTCATACTAAATATAGTCAAATGGATTAATCTGCAGATTGTTTTCTTGTGAAACAGCTCATCAAAGTTCCTTAGAGTCCAAGGTCACGTGTTCAAATATCTTGCCTCACCAAAAGTAAAAAATCCAGACTTTATTAATTTACAATAATATGAAACAGAAAAAAGCAACAGTCAATTATTTTACTTTTTGGGTGACTTATGGATTCACTGCAGCTCTACTACAACCCACCCAACAAGCTTCCTCAGCTCACCTTAGCAAGCAACAAAGCATACACTTCTAACATGACCAGCTAACAACAACCAGATATTACTCTGTTAGTAAGCTACTGAGCTTGAGGCCACCACTATAAGGAGTTCGGTCTAGACCTGCTCCATTTGAAAAGTGTCCTGAGATAACTTCTGTTATGAATAGGCGCTATACAAATAAAATTATTGAGCCTCCATCATTTTAAGAGGAAAGGAAAAACAATTATTGTCTTAGTCAGCAGAAAGATTAAAGAAAAAGATGAATCGAAAGGGCTTCTGTCTGGATGGTCTTGGATCAAGCCCTTGAATTCGGAAACTCAAAAACCTACATTTTAATCATTAAATAATAAATTAATTATAAAAACAGTTTGGCATAGTAAGTGCACTGAAGTGGTCCAGAAAGTGCCCTATAATTCACATATTTCCATGTTGCTGATCAACAACAATATATTGGACAGTCAAGTCACACACCTTGGTGTATGCAGCCTCGGTCTCTGCGATGGTGCGGTCGAACGTGGCGCGGGCGGTGAGTCTTTGTGCCAGGCTCTCGTTGACTCTGCTCAGCTTCTCTGACAGGACTCGGAGGTCGTGCTGCAGCCGATCCTTCTCCTCTTCCTCCTGCTTGATCTGACGGTTCAACTCCTCCCGCTTGGAGTGCAGGTCCTCAATACCTGAGAGGAGACGAAGACACGCTTTATTACTCTGGAGCCTCACTGGGTTGTTACTTTCAACAAAGCTGGACATTGCAGCATTTATGCACATTTCTAAATCACATGAAGATAAAGTTATTTTATCAGAAATGATTAGTCAGAATAACTATAATAATATATAATATAATAAGTCTATAACATAAAGTTAAATAACAACAAGCTGGTAATTTGTTATACTGTTTTAATACTGAATATCTTTGAAGGTTTTGAACTGACAAAATAAGCATTTTCAAAGTTCATTAGTCAAAAAAAATAATCGAAACATTAATTGATATAGAAAATAATTGTTCGTCACAGCTCTAGCACAATGTAAAATAATAGTATCCATTAGAATTTGAATCTCAGGTAATTATTAAACAGTCTTAAATTTGGTAGAAAACTGGGAAACATTTTTTAAATATCCTGAAGACAGAATTCACATGTCAGTTAAACACTCATTAATTAATATTAGTAATGAAGTCAAACAGCAGTGTTGTATATTGTGTTTTTGTGTGTCTGCTTAACTTATTTGACCAAAATGAGCTGAATATCAGCTCCATGTATCATAAAGTAGAATTCAACCTACTCCAGGTATTAAAATGCCAGCTGTTGGCCCTGAGCTGCATTAATGTGGTCTACAGAGGGTTACAGGTTGATTTCCAGCTGATACAATAATCTGTGTAGGTTAATGAGATTGTAACGTTAACATCCTGTCTGCTGGAAGGTCAACAACTAGATCAGGACAGGAAGAGCAGAGAAAAGCCACCACACAGATACAAACCCTAACGTTATCTATTCACTGAAGAAACACCTGCAGTCAACCACCAGCACCACACTATTCACAATGACTACTAACTTAACACATACTAATGGATTATCGAAAAGTACAACAAGTCACTTACATTTGACAAGTTCATTGTTGTAGGTCTGCAGAGCAGCAGCTTGTTGGGTCATAGTGGACTTCAACAAACGTCCGCCTAACTGACGTTAACGTCCTAACACTCTACAGTGGCTAACGGCTAACAGCTAACAGCTAACAGCGACTTGTTTCCAAAGTCAGCGCTCAGCTAAGCGCACCAGGAGTTAGACACGTATTCAGAGACACAAGCGCCAGTGTTTTAAAAGAAGTGCTCAGACATGGCGGGTTTCCCGGGACAACTGAAGCTCAGATACTACCGGATATCTTACCGACCTACCGACTGGTCAGGCTGCTTCTTCGTCTCTAGGTTTAGGTGCTTCACACCACACAACTTCCCGCGCTTGCGCCCCCTTCCGACCGCGTCCTCTAACGTCTAGTTAGGTCTCCAGTTATTTATATAGCAGATTTAATTACAAGTACATTCAATGGGCTATAGCTTACATTAAAATATATTACACACACACACACACTCAAAGACAAACTCAAACACAGACAACTGTGAGTAACTTATCATAGAAAATAGCTAGGGTTTTGATTCGCTTTGTTTTGCTTTAAAGTGGACATAGTTGTGACAGATCTCAGCTCAGAGAACACCACCAAAGCACCAAAGCAGACTAATTAAAAGCAGCCTCTTACCAGCTCTTAAGTTACAGTTAGAAACACCACCTGATCACCTGTAAGGTCTGAACTGGTCAGTAAGCGGTGATAGAAAGGAAATGCACTGGGCAGGGGTGGAAGAAGTATTCACATCTTTAACTTATGTAAAAGTAGCAAAACCACACTTTACTTAAAGTTCCCCTCCACTCATAAATCGTTTTTTCTTCTTGATCCTACAGTGTGATATTTCATCTTTATGTGTATGTGCAGAGTTTGACTCTAGTTTCTCTTTCTAAAGTTTCTCTGTGCTTATTGAAAATCTAATTTTAAGTAGTGACATCACAAATAGTTTGGAAGTCAGTCCTGGTCCAGTATGCAATTTGTACAGTGTGATGTAGAAACTTGAAGCCACCAGTGCACAAAATTGTTCAAAGACGCTTATTTGATATACACTACCAGTCAAAAGTTTGGACACACCTTCTCATTTAATGGTTTTTCTTTATTTTCATGACTATTTACATTTTAGATTCTCACTGAAGGCATCAAAACTATGAATGAACACATATGGAATTATGTAGTAAACAAAAGAATGTGAAATAACTCAAAATATGTTTTATATTTTAGATTCTTCAAAATAGCCACCCTTTGCTTTGATTACTGCTTTGCACACTCTTGGCATTCTCTCGATGAGCTTCATGAGGTAGTCACCTGAAATGGTTTTCCAACAGTCTTGAAGGAGTTCCCTGAGATGCTGAGCACTTGTTGGCCCTTTTGCCTTCACTCTGCGGTCCATCTCATCCCAAACCATCTCGATTGGGTTTAGGTCAGGTGACTGTGGAGGCCAGATCATCTGGCGCAGCACTCCATCACTCTCCTTCTTGGTCAAATAGCCCTTCCACAGCCTGGAGGTGTGTTTGGGGTCATTGTCCTGTTGAAAAATAAATGATGGTCCAACTAAACGCAAACCAGATAGGATGGCATGATGCTGCAGGATGCTGTGGTAGCCATGCTGGTTCAGTGTGCCTTCAATTTGAATAAATCCCCTAAAGTGTCACCAGCAAAGCACCCCCACACCATCCTCCTCCTCCATGCTTCACAGTGGGAACCATGCATGTAGAGACCATCCGTTCACCTTTTCTGTGTCACACAAAGGCATGGCGGGTGGAACCAAAGATCTCAAATTTGGACTCATCATACCAAAGCACAGATTTCCACTGGTCTAATGTCCATTCCTTGTGTTTCTTGGCTCACACAAATCTTTTCTGCTTGTTGCTTTTCCTTAGTAGTGGTTTTTTAGCAGCTATTTGACCATAAAGGCCTGATTCGCGCAGACTCCTCTGAACAGTTGATGTAGAGATGTGTCTGCTACTAGAACTCTGTGTGGCATTCATATGGGCTCTAAAACCTTAGAGACTCACCGTCTAAAGATATAGTTACTCTAGATGGCATTAACTTGGCCTCTAGCACCACTGTCAGGAATCTTGGAGTTATCTTTGATCAGGATTTATCATTTAACTCCCACATAAAGCAGACCTCTAGGACTGCCTTCTTTCATTTACGTAATATTAGAAAAATTAGACACATACCATCACAGACAGATGCAGAAAAACTAATCCATGCATTTGTTACTTCAAGGCTGGATTACTGCAACTCTTTATTATCAGGTTGCCCCAATAAGTCCATTAAACCGCTCCAATTAATTCAGAACGCTGCAGCACGAGTACTGACAGGAACTAGAAAAAGAGATCACATCTCTCCTGTACTAGCTTCTCTGCACTGGCTCCCTGTAAAATGTAGAATAGAATTTAAAATTCTCCTCCTCACCTATAAAGCTCTTCATGGTCAGGCCCCTTCATATCTTAAAGAGCTCATAGTACCCTATTACCCCTCTAGAACACTACGTTCTCTGAATGCTGGGCTACTTGTGGTTCCTATAGTCTCTAAAAGTAGAACAGGAGCCAGAGCCTTCAGTTACCAAGCTCCTCTCCTGTGGAATCAGCTTCCATTTGTGGTTCAGGAGGCAGACACCCTCACCACATTCAAGAGTAGGCTTAAGACATTCCTCTTTGATAAAGCTTATAGTTAGGGCTGGATCAGGTGAGTCCTGAACCATCCCTTAGTTATGCTGCTATAGGCCTAGACTATCGGGGGATTTCCCATGGTGCACTGAGCTCCTCTCTTCCTCTCTCTCTCTTTCTGCACTCATTCATGTTCCATTAATGCATGTTACTAATTTCACTTCTTCCCCGGAGTTCTTGTGCTTTCTCGTCTCACAGGTTCTTATCGATCCTGGTGGAGCCTCCTGCCATGGTCCTGCTAGATTGCCATTGCCAATACTGTTGTTGCTGTGCACCTGTCTGTCTGTCTGTCTGTCTGTCTGTCTCTCTGTCTCTCTGTCTCTCTCTCTCTCTCTCACCCCAACTGGTCGAGACAGACGACCACCCACCTAGAGCCGGAGGATCTGTCCAAGGTTTCTGCCTTTTAACAGGCAGTTTTTCCTTGCCCCCATCGCCAAGTGCTTGCTCATGGTGGTTCTGTTGGGTCTCTGTAAATAATGTTATAAAGAGTTCGGTCTAGACCTGCTCTATTTGAAAAGTGTCCTGGGATAACTTCTGTTATGAATTGGCGCTATACAAATAAAATTGAATTGAATTGAATTGAATTAATCTGAGGTGCTGTTAACTTGCGATTTCTGAGGCTGGTGACTCGGATGAACTTATCCTCAGCAGCAGAGGTGACTCTTGGTCTTCCTTTCCTGGGGCGGTCCTCATGTGAGCCAGTTTCGTCGTAGCGCTTGATGGTTTTTGCAACTGTACTTGGGGACACATTCAAAGTTTTTGCAATTTTCCGGACTGACTGACCTTCAGTTCTTAAAGTAATGATGGACTGTCGTTTCTCTTTACTTAGCTGATTAGTTCTTGCCATAATAGGAATTCTAACAGTTGTCAAATAGGGCTGTCAGCTGTGTACCAACCTGACTTCTGCACAACACAACTGATGGTTCCAACCCCATTAAGAAGGCCAGAAATTCCACAAATGAACCCTGACAAGGCACTCCTGTGAAGTGAAAACCATTTCAGGTGACTACATCGTGAAGCTCATTGAGAGAAGGCCAAGGGTTTGCAGCGCTGTCAACAAAGCAAAGGGTGGCTACTTTGAGGAATCAAAAATATGAAACATATTTAGAGTTATTTCACACTTTCTTGTTTACTACATAATTCCATATGTGTTTTGATGCCTTCAGTGAGAATCTACAATGTAAATAGTCATGAAAATAAAGAAACCATTAAATGAGAAGGTGTGTCCAAACTTTCGACTGGTAGTGTATGTATTAATGCATGTCTAGAGGGGCTCTTTAACTCAACGTAGGCCTACAGTAGAATTATACATACATCGTATACTACTTACAGTAGTCTAACCTGGTTGATATAAATGTATGAACCTCTCCTAGTTATTTTACTAATCTACTCTACTGTGTACTGCTATGTTCTTAAATCAGTCTCTCTCAGAGAACATACTATATTTTATCCATTCAAATGTTAGCACTAGCTGCTTTGTACGTTTTTTCCCTGTACTTTTTATGATATTTTGTCTTTCTCCTACAGTTACTCCAAGAATAAACTATAATCATTTACATATTGGATATATACAAAAGTTCCTCAGAGATGGTCCTCAGTAAATGTTATTCTTTCCCCTTTTTTTTCAATTTGTGAATATTTCATGGAACGCTTTCAGTGTATTAAGATATATACCGGTCGCTACTGTGTGTTTGACAACTGTCATGTTTTCCATAGATGGATATGCTGAAATAATTGGAAATATGTAATGTTAAAGTGGGTTAGTTTCATTCCAGTCATGAAAAACTAAACAAAGAGAGCAAATTACACAGGCATCAAGCATAAACACAGTTGAGAGGAAGAATCCAAACATTTGGAGAATATAACTAGACTAAGCAAAGGAGGACACCTGGTGGTGTAACACAAACAGAACAATGAGACCCAACTAAAATAATCAGTACTTATAGAAGATTAAACCAGGTTTAACTCAGTAGGTCAGGAAATTCTGTTTATAAAGCAGATTTAAATGATGGACTTAAGTTACTGTGGAAACGTATCCTCTCCAGACTACCTTGGTTCATATCAGGCTAGTTGTTAGCTGCACCTTAACCAGTCTTATATGTGGAGGTATTAAAATGTAGAGCTCAGACCTTTATCACTGTACTTAACATTATGGGGAAAATAGTGTCCATGTTGTTGTCAACTGAAATTAATACAATATTGTCATTATTACTATAATGTTAACTTTTTTAACAATTTATAATTTGTTTAAATATAAATAATCTTGTTTACAATAATCTTGCTGTTGTTGGGTAAATTACCCACAATTTAATTTTACAATTGTAGATGTAATAACTTGATCCATAATGATACAGTCAAAAAAAGGTCCAAATAAGCATCTACATAAAGGGGAACCACAGCAGATCCACATCTGACTTGTCATAGTAGTAAAAGCACAGGTGTTACTAATAATATTATATACGATGGCTCTGTTTAAGCAGCTAAATGGAATTTAGCCATTGTTCATTTTATTGATTGCACCTGTGCTTTTCCTACTGTGACCTGTCCAATGTGAAAAAGACCTTGCTATATATGAAAATACATATATGTACTGCATTTATTCTC